AAAACAAAAAGTGGAGGCGTAATGGTGAATGTATTCTTAGTCGTTTCTCAGTGATTCCCTCAGTTTCGCCGATCTGTGGCCGCCGCTGCATGGGATCTCATACATCCCTGATGCCAGAGAAGGTGGGGCACTTATCTGTAACGTATACTAGCTTGTGCCCGAGTTTTTCACGTGCTTTCTAGGCGCTTTGTGTTGAAGCGATTTGAAAGCTTGCCAATTTTGTCTGTGGATCTTTGAATATATGACAGGATGGTTGAGATTGGCATCTGTACTAGGTGTGGTGATGTCATGCGCAGTGCTAGAGGTGCTCGCTGCTTGTCGTACGGCTTGGCAGAATTACCACTGTACTCGTTAGATAGAAATGTAGTCGTGAGGAGCTCCACTTCAGTCTTAAGGATTCCTCATCTCACACATTATTTGCTCTGAAGGCCATGCTGCTGTGGGCCGTGGGGCCACACTATTAACGTGTCATCCACTTACCGGAGCCACAATGTTGGTTTAAGTGGGCACTTTCCAAGGTCTCCGTTCGGAAAGCCACCACAAGAGATAGGCCAGAACCCATGGCTGCACCAACGTGGGCATAGAGTTGCTCACGGTCTCTGGACGTGTGACATAACAAGCCAGCCCATTCCGTTGTGAGTCCGAGGGAGCAATGTTAGTTGCGTGTGAGCATGGCTCTCCGCCTTGTCCACCGGTATCATGGTGAACAAAGACGGGATATTGAAGCTGGCGAGGATGTCTGTGTCATTTACTTGTTGCTTCTTTAGTATATACGTAATATGGGCCGGATTCCCAACGTCCGATTTGGTGTCGTTCGTCAGAGGGTGCAATTTGTCAGCCACATAGCGGGCAAGTTGGTGATTGGGAGAGTTGATGGTGCCCACGATTGGGCGCAATGGCACGTCGTGCTTGTGTTCTGTATTAGGGTAACCACGTTCCCATCCACACGTTCGTGGAATTGTGCAATGTTTTAAATTGGACTTGTTCATAATATTGTGTGATACGGTTTTTAAATAGCATGATAGGTTTTGTGAGAGCAATTTAAAGACATTAAGTGTTGTGAAAGGTTTCACATGCAGAGACGATGTTTCATCTGGCCCATCATATAACCTGAAAGTAGATCTGGACGCAATAAGTACTTTAATAAATAAGAAATGTCGGCGCAGAAAAGCATTAAAATGTTGTAAGTACCAAAATCGTTAAGAATAAACTCAGATATCGCCTGTTCGTTCATTACTAATGGGGTTTATAATTACCCTCTTAGAAAATACAAGTCATTGTTAAGAATAGTCATAAGGCAGGCTAAAATCATGAAACATCATCAGGATGTTTTGAACTCGAATAATAAAACAAAAGCAATGTGGAATATAGTAAAAAAATCGACCAAATCAACTAGAAACCTTGTAGAGAACGTGGTTTTAAAAGATAACGATAGAAATGTGAACGATCTGGCAACAGTTGCTATTATCTTTAACCTATACCTTTCGAGAATTGCTGCCGATCTCACTAAGGGTCTTCAGCCACAAAATTCAACATGAGACGTTTCCCCAAAATTTTTAGACACGATGCTCGTTTCCGCAACGTGTTTCAATGAAATCCTCAAAATAATCGGTACAATAAAAAATAAATATTCGGCCGGTTTAGATGAATATCCGGATTGTTTGTTAAAGACTTCTGCGTCCGCTATTATACATCCGTTCACTCGCATATTTAATGTATCCGTGTGCACAGGAAGTTTTCCAGATATTTTTAAAATAGCTAAAATTAAGCCGGTTTTCAAAAATGACAACAAAAATGAAATTAAAAATTATAGGCCTTTTTTCATTTTTCTTTTTCTTCTTCAAAAATATTAGATAGACTTTTTTACGTACGAATGAAAACATTTCTTAGAAAAAAACACGCGTTTGCAGTTTGCCGACATGGGTTTCGAAAATCAAAATATACGGAAACAGCTATATTTTCTTTTCTTAAAGATGTTGCCTCACCCATGAATCAAAACGAAGCACCTATTTGAATATTTTTAGAACTTGCAAAAGCTTTTGACGTATTGATCATATCATTTTACTCTCAAAATTACCTTCGTATGGAATTCGTGGTGTTCTAAATTTATTATGTTCGTACCTTAAACAACAATCTCAGGGAGTAGAAGTATCGTACTGCAATAATGGAACATTGTGTATACATCTTTCTGATTCGTTGCCAATTGCATGTGGAATCCCGCAGGGATCGATTTTAGGCCCTATTCTCTACTAAATGTAAACGATATGCCCTCGATGATTAGAACAGTTCTCTTTGTGGGTGATACGAATAAAGAAATAAAGAATTTGCAATAAAGAAACCTTAAATAGTACAATATAAGATATTTCAAATTGGTTCCGTAATAACAAATTAATAGTAAATGAAAGAAAACTGTTTCAATACAGTTTTCCATTTCAAATAAACAGCTATCTACTTCGCAGGAAACGAACGGTGTGCCATTGACTGATGTGAAGATAACAAAATTTTTAGGTCTTTCAATTCAGTCAAACCTTAAATGGAACGTCCATTTAAATAAACTGAACACAAAATTAAGTTCTTTATGCTACGCTTTCAGAATTATTTCAAATTCAGTCAGCCTCCAAACTGCTCGTTGTGTATATTTCGAGAATATTCATTCTCACGTGAGATATGGCATAATATTCTGGGGAAATACATCTTATAGCTCCGAGAATTTTAGATTACAAAAAAGAATTGTACGAATAATAAGCAAATCCCACCCACGTGATTCGTGTCTCTTGATATATGAATCAGTGGTTTTTTGTTAAAAATGACTTGGGCGGGAATATATTTTCAGCAAACGCAATATCTATAACTACAACACTGGATGTAGTAATCATATTCATCAGGTGTTAGTATCAACAGATCACTACAAACAATTCACACACATTCATGTAAATCATTTTACAACACTTTGCCAGATCCCATTAAACGATTAAATTCGATACAAAAGTTTATGTCCCAAGTAAAATCTTTTCTGCTGAAAAATTGTTTCTATACAATTAAAAGACTATACCGAGCATCCAAAAGGAAAGTAATATTAATTTTAACGACATTTAGTCTATTATGTGTCATTTGGATTGTATAATTTTAAAGTACCCGTAACGAGTATTGTACTCCAGTTTCTCGGTCAGTGACCCCCATCTCTCTCAGGTTTTCGTCCAGTATCCCTAATCCTTGAGCAAATGCTGAGATCGCCCTTGTTTTGCTTCTGGACATAAATGTAACTTAAATTTAACTTTTACCTCGTAGCACGTCTCACACAGTTTTTAACTGTTTTTGACGTAAATAAATAATTCCGTGCGAAGCAGCCACGCTCCCTGCAGCTTGTGTCGCCTCGTGAGGAATCTTGAAAATCACAGCGAAAGTAACACTGTGACTCCGCGACGTTACACGATACGCACGCTCAGAGTGAAAATTTGTTTACCACGAGAAAGTGCGGTTCTTGTACAACAACGGTTTGCTCCCGTCTTCAACAAACGCAGTTGAGTTTTTGGAATTAGTGGCGTGTGAAATATTCCATGAAATTTGACTTCATGTGCACTTTGAGGTAACAATGTGCAAAAGTACGCTAAAATGTTATTACTGGTGCTCTACTATTTAGGTAGGTGTATTAAGAAACTGTGATTTTAAAAATGTCTTTAGTAGAGACAACAATGTTGCTGTTAGATAATGAGGGGAGACTTATTAGTACATGGTAGAGAGCTCCGTGTATCTCCATGCTAATTTAATATTGAGATACTCCAAAGGTGAAGAATTCAGCTATTATGAAGCGCAACACTAAACGCAATAGTGTTTTAAACTTTAGTGCGGCAATAACGTAATTTTACGCCACAGCGTACGAAGTTCAGTTGACACATGATTTGAGGCAAGTCGGAAATAATAAATGGTTACCCGCACGACTCCAGTGCACGGCGGTGTGCCGACCTTTCAGGGGCACACCCCCACATTTTGACAAATAATAGCACCTTTAGACTCAGGGTTCATTAACCAACGAAAAAGGTTCCAATTTCAAGGCTTAGCAAAAATGTTCGTTTTGAATTAAAAAAAAAAAAGTTTTTAAAATGGTGTTTAAAAAATGTTCAGGACTCGCATAAAAACTCTTGTTACTGTTTTTTATTTTTGCGTATTTGCGCTACTTTTTGGAAACGTTAGGTATAATATTGTATTGTATTTTTCAGCGGATTTTGACTTAGGCGGTGCCCAATATATTCCATTAGTATTCTCATTAGAGAACTTGAATTAATTGGATTGGAATGCATAGTTTTTTAAAAATTATATTAAAGAAAGTGAAAGTTATGACTTGGATGATTAATTAAAACAAAGATTTCCTTGAAAATTGTTGAAGTTACGGCGATAACAAAATCGTGTTTTGTCAAGTTTTGTACCAATGAAAAAAACGTTTGGAAAATGTAAAATGTCTTAAGAATTAAAACCAAATTTTTATACTGAACTTCAGTATTACTTGTTCACTTTAAGCTTTCCAACTGATGAATTTTGAAGGAAACACATTATGTCCCACCAAGTACTGTGTGTGACATCTTAGACATTGGAGCATAAGGAAAGAGTCATGGGAGGGAAAGTGAAGTGTCATTCTTCTGGATACCGATTCACTTGAATGTGTCCACATTCTTCCAAAACAGTGTGTAATCTTGAAATTTTACACCACAGTTGTTTCTACCTTAAAGTTGAAGATCAAGTAATGTTTATATAACATTTGTAAACTACACTTAACACAAAAAAATATTTTGAAAAAGAAATGAAATTTTGTCAAGAAATATCTTGTAAATATGGATTTTGAACCTGAATTTGTTGCCAAAATTTTGTCTATAACAAAGGATTTATATAGTGGTATATTTTTAGTCATGCTATTACATATCCTTTTTAAGAAACATTATCGATATAAAATACATTATACATTTAACTAAAAAACTTATTTCCAATGTGTGTATATGTTTTTATAGGGTCAGAGAAAGGTTCTTGTGCTCCATACAATGGCAAAATATGCAGGAAGTATTTAAGTGGAGCAGGACAGCGATATATTGTTTCACGAGATGGAGGTGTAGTCAATGAACAAATCACAGCTGGTTTGTGGGAGGAGATGATTCATGGTTTAAAAGAACCCTGTAGAAGTGCTGCAGAGGTGTGTATTCCCCTTTGTTTATAAATGAAAGATGTGTTTAAAAAACTACTGTTATGGATTAACATTGTGTTAATTTCTGTTTTCAGAAGCTGCTTTGTATATATGCATTTCCTCAATGTGATATAAGAGATTTTGAAGTAGTGCCACTGCCAATTTGTGCAGAAGATTGTATAGCTGTCAAACATCTTTTTTGCTATAATGATTGGGCATATATTGAAGATAAAAAGAAGAATGGCATCTACTTCAAATCTCGTGGACACTTCCAACTCCCCAATTGTGAAGAACTTCCAAAATTCAGAGGATCTACACCACCTGCTTGCTCTCATGCCAAACTCACTGAAATGAAGACTGAAGAAATAACTTGTAAGCAATGTGTAATTGGCATTTGGCTTTATTTTCTTTCTCTTTCTTTCTTTCTTTCTTTCTTTCTTTCTTTCTTTCTTTCTGTCTTTCTTTCTTTCTGTCTTT